GCAACACTGTCACTGGTTCGATTCCCACATGGGCCAATGAGCTGCACCTGAGCTGAGCTGCCGCTGAGCTGCCAACAGGTAGCAGGATGGCTCAGCTGGTGAGAGCATGTGCTCCTAACAAAAAGGTTGCCGGTTCGACTCCTGCATGGGATGGTGGGCTATGCCCACCCGTAACGAAGACTGAACACAGCACCTTGAGCTGAGTGGCTGCGAGCTGCCAATGGGCAGCTGGATGGCGACTGGACTTGGGAGCTGAGCTAGCTGCCCCCTCCACAACTAAGACTGAAGGACAACTGGGCTTCTCCCCTTCCCCAATTTCCCAATTAAAAAAAAAAAAAAGAAAAGCAGTTAGTTACCTACAAGGGGGGCTCCCATAAAACTGTCAGCTGATTTCCCAACAGAAACTTTGCAGGCAAGGAGGGAGTGGGAGGAAATATTCAAAGTGATAAAAAGCTAGAACCTACAACCAAGATTACTCTACCCAGCCACATTATCATTTATGATAGAACAGATAAAGAGCTTCCCAGACAAAAAAAAAAAGCTAAAGAAGTTTATCACCACCAAACCAGTATTACAAGAAATCTTAGAGGGACTTAAGATGAAAAAAAAAAAATTAAAAATGTGAATAACAAAATGGCAATAACTACATATCTATCAACAATTACTTTCAATGTAAATGGATTAAATGCTCTGATCAAAAGACATAGCAGGGATGAATGGATAAGAAAACAAAACCCTTACATATGCTGCCTACAAGAGACTCCCTTCAGATCAAAAGACACACACAGACTGAAAGTAAGGGGATGGAAAAAGTTATTTCATAAAAAAGGAAAAAAAAAAAACACAAAAGCTGGGTAGCAATACTTATACCAGACAAAGTAGACTTTAAAACAAAGGCTATAACAAGAGACAAAGAAGGACCTAATAACCTCACTTCTGGGTATTTATCCTAAGAAGAAACCCAAAATGCTACTTTGAGAGGATGTGTGCATCCATATGTTCATTGCAGCATTATTTACAATGGCCAAGATATGACGGCAACCTGGGCATCCCTGAATGGATGAATGGATAAAGAAGAGGTGGTACATATATACAATGGAATACTACTCAGCCATTAAAAAGAATGCAATCTTGCCATCTGAAACAACACAGATGGACCTAGAGGGTATTGTGCTGAGTGTAGTAAGTCAGACAGCGAAAGACAAATGTCATCTGATTTCACTTATAAGTGAAATCAAAAGAACAAAATAAACAAATGAAACAGAAACAAATGCATAGATACAGAGAACATTTTGATGGTTGCCAGATGGGAGGGGGTTAAGAAGTACAAATTGGCTGTTATACAGTAGTCATGGAGATGCAGGGTATAGCATAAGGAATATAGTCAGTAATATTGTAATAACTATGTATGGTGTCTGATGGATACTAGATCTATCAGGGTGATGGATGGGAGGGGGGTTGGGGACAGGGTGAAAAGATGAAAGGATTAAGAAATACAAATTGAAAGTTACAAAATAGTCATGGGGATATAAAGTAAAGCATAGGGAATATAGTCAATGATATGGCAATAACTATGTATAGTGCCAGGTGGGTACTAGACTAGTCAGGGGGATCACTACTTAAATTATATAAATGTCTAATCACTATGCTATACACCTGAAATTAATATAAAATAATATAGAATGTCAACTGTAATTGAAAATTTTAAAAAGGGAGGAAGATAAAGTAGAATAAGAGATTCAAAGTTTCACATATAAAATAAGCCATGGGGATGTAATGAACAGCATAGGCAATATAGTCAATAATATTATGATAACATGGTACGGTGTCAGATAGTTGCTGGACTTACCATGGTGATCACTTCTTTACGTAAATAAATGTTGAATAACTATGGTGTACACCTGAAATTAATATAATACTGTTTTTTAGCTATATTTTAATAAAAATCTTTAAAAAAATAATAATAAAATAAAGTGCTCCATAAATGTTAGGTATTATAATTACTTATGCAAATTTGTTTCCATTGCTTTCCCAAATCAACTCTCATGGTAAACCACTCGTCAAATTAGATGCTATGTTTCACCTCTGTGCTTTGCAAATGTTTCTGCAGGCTGAAATCCTTTCCCATTCGTTCATTCATTCATTCATGCATTCCAATATAAGTACAAGGCGTATCTCCTCTTTTTCCAGGGCCCAGTTTAGTCTCTCCCTACCTCCATAAAGTCTTCAATGAATACCAATATATCTTCACTAACCTCTCCCTTTATAAAAAAACTCCTTTGGCCACAGAGTAGTTTATGATGAGAAATGTAGCTGAGAATTAAAGACATTAGCTCTGAGTTTGAACCCTAGGTCTGCCATTCATCAGCTGAGTCGTTTCCCAAGGTGTAACTCCTTTGTTAGGATTACTATAAGGATTAAGTGACTGAAATCATATACAACATTAGAATAGCAAATAGCAAGCACCTATTAAATGCAGCTCTTATACTATGTATTTGTTGTTTTATGTTAGCATTGTCTTCACACTGTGATGAAAGACTCCTTGGAACAGACATTTTGAACTCCTTGAAATCAGGAGCTGTCTCTCATTATTGTTATTATAAATCCTATGGTTCATGACATGGTAACAACCATCTATATTAGGTGATCTATAAGTACTTGATTAAATTGTTGCATAATTTGAGAGTATAGTTCATAACAAAACTCTGGAAAAACATGTTTGATGAATGGAAGGAAACAAATATTCAACAAACAGAGAATGAAACCAAATAAAACACAGGCTGCAGAGAAGGGTAAAAATAATTTGATTACTTTGTAAATGTTCAATAACAAGTTTCTATCAGATTAATCTTCTGAAAGGCCACTTCCAATGATGTCTTTTTATCTGCCCAAAATCCTTTAGATTTTTCTCATTTCCTAAAAAATAAATACGCAAATTCTCAGCCTGACATTCAAAAACATCGATGGCCTGACCTGAACCTATCCTTCTAATCTTATCTCCCATTTGCCCCTTTAGAAATTCTATTATCTCAGATAAATAGAACTAGTTGCTCTTACTCATATGCATCCTCTGTTTTTCTGCCTCATGTAACCTTTAGTATTTAATGTGACAATGTTTTCAAGGAACATAGTATAAAGGTTTGTCACAGGAACAAGGAGTGGTTGCTTATGTGCAAGTATGAACTTTAATTTTAAGAACTTAAATTCAATTTATGAGCACTAATTTCTCTCTTGCTACTATCACAATACAGTCTTGACTTACAAAAAACACATTTGGCCACTGTTTCCCCAAATTACATCACTCCCACAGTGCTAAAAGCTCCTGTCATCATTACTTGAAAGCTGTAAGCTTGAATAAGCATGATCTTATTAATAAGAGTATACAGACCCCAGGGTACACAGAATATCCACTGAGTAAAAGAAAAAAAATCAGAGCTTCTATTTACACTTATTCTTTATTCTCCTCACTTGAATTTCTTTTGTAGTATATGCCTCATAATTTGCATCATATGTTCTTAGAATAGTAGTAGATACATATAATTTATAAATAAGTGTATTGAGGATGTTTGCTCAAAATTTGTTTACTATGATACATACAACAATAAAAATTGGTCTAGAAAATTAGGGCTTTCAGAAAATCTGTGGGTTTAGAAGTAGACCTAAAAACCTAAACACCATGTATTGTTTATGAAGGGTAAACATGTTCTAATTTCTAACCAACTTTCAGTTGAATGTTGAAATGTAACTGGTTTGTACTTTGGATATAGCATATACCTGTTTTTTATTCTTAAACAGGAACTTTTTTTCCTGACATTAAAGTTGCTACAGTAAATATTTCATTAATATAAAAACTTCACTTGGTAAAACCAACAAGTATTTACTTCAGTATATATACATATCATTAATAATAATTATTCATAAAGACCTTTTATTGGAGCCAGTAATGTGATGTTTTACAAATGACAGTGCAGCAAACAAACAAACAAAAACAGAAACAGGCCTACGTGGTAAAACTAGCCACAGAACCAGAGTAGAAAGTACTACCAGAAACAGTGTCACAGCTCACATTCAGTAACTAAATGAAGTAAATCTATTGGGTTATCAGAAAAGTCATGACATATTTTTTTCTATGTTTTTCATTGCAAAAATGCGTCATGACTTTTCCAACAATCAAATAGAACAGCCACTATACTTAGCTATTTTCTTTTTGTTTTCATAAATAATATGACATACTTAATATAATACACTCTATTATTGACTTTTAAAGAAACTATAATGTTTCTAAAACAAATTAAGTTCTAAAAGTGAATATCATAATAATGTATTTTCTTTAATACCAGTGCATCCTATAAATCCTTCTTCTATAAGACACAAATTATATATACAAATCTTAATTTTAAACTGATTAGTTCTCTAGTTTTCCTTGCTATTATGCTAATATAAAAACCCAAATAAGCAAGAATCTCTAACTCATGATTTAGATTCTGAGCTTGTAGGTTGCATGCAAATCGCTTAGGATTTGCATATGATTATAAAAATATGGAGGTCAAACTTTCCACAACATCTCTTTCCTACTATGACATACGGGATGACTACACACACATAGATCATCTCTTTCTTCTTCAAGATGGGGTTAGACTCAGTGCACAGACAAAATGGGGAAGAAAGACAAAAGGAAGGTTTTCTACTGTCTTTATAAACCCATATCATTATGCCCAGTAAAACTTAGAAAAAACATAATCAAAGAAACTATGAATTCATGTGTTGCAAGAGTCCAACACTGGCGGTATCACCACAAACTATAAATGATTTATCGAAGCATCCCTTCCCCTACACATGCAGTGAGAACAGAACACCAACGAACACCAGGGGAAGAGCAAGAGGGAGCTGACATTTGACAGGCAGGATCTGAAGACAGAACAAAGCACAATCCCACGCCTCTTAGGTGCACACTGAACTGGCAAGGACAGACGCATTGTCTTCTTCCCCCCCTTACTTACTACACTCTGGCTTCCATTTTTCCCAAGTTCTTCCTCTGAAATCTTGCTCAAATTATCTAAGTAGTGGTCTGATATTGTGTGGCACAAATCTTCAAAAGAATAATCCTTTTCTTGACAAAGTTTTATTTCATCCAAGAGTTTTGATAATTCTCCAGTCACAGTTTCACCTGTAAGAAGACAGTAATTTTTTTCAAAGTTTCAAGAAAGGCCATTGATAAAACTTAAAGTTATAATCAATAATGTTGTAAAGATTTTGTAGGGTATCCAATGGACACATGTGTTATTAGGGAGACCACTTCATGGACAGTGTAGGTGCCTGACCACTGCACTGTACACCTGAAGCTGAAGCTGAAGAATAATCAATGTCAACTATAATTTAATATACATATAGTCACAGGATGTGGAGTACAGCATAGGGAATAGAGTCAATGGAATTGTAACAGCTATGTGCGATGTCAGAGAGGTAGTAGATTGGGGGAGGGGGCTATCACTTTGTGAGTGGTGTAAATGTCTAACTAGTACATTGTTTTGTACACCTGAAACTAATTTAAAAAAACCTTAATGTTAAATAATAAAAATATGACTAGTACGGTAAAAGAACTCAAAACATGGCAAACAAGGTTAAGTAGTCAGAAAATATTCTGCTGAAAGCATGGTAGTAAACTATAATTAGTATAAGAATATTAAAAGACAAACAGAAATTTTAATTTTGCCTGTTATTATTCTTTTTCAAAATGGAAATAAGTAGTAAAGCTTTACATATACATAGTACATAAAAGCATCTGGAATTACAATTCCTAAAGCTTCATTTATTTTAGCACTTAATCTTCTATAAGCTTTTATCAGCACACAGAATTCATTCAGCAATTCATTAGCAAATTTAAAATGGTGCTGGGAGCCTACTTCCTAGGTTCAATAAAAAGAAATAGTAGAATGTATTTAAACAAATAATTGTTTAAGTAATTACTAATTAGAATAATGTGATATCAAGGGCACATACAGAAGGAACAGATAAATATTACGCAACATCTGTCAAAACATAAATATTTTGTAGGTGGCATACAAATATTTATTTTTCTAATCATTCTAAGAAAGGTATTTTATACCTTTAATTTATTCTGAAAAAAAATCCAGCCATTACTATCCAGATATCAATATTTTTATTCTTCATTAAAAATGCTTCTTAGGGGGAAAAAAATCTTCTCTGAAATATCCACTCCATGTAAACTTCATAGCAGGGACTGCCATCTCCTTTGATTCCTACTGCATCTCAGGACCAAGAGTAGTGCCTGACAAATAGCAGGAGCTCAATAAATGTTGTTGAATAAATGGATAAAATATACAGGTATAACATACTAGACTTGAAATTTTCACAAGTCTTAGCAATTTTGTATATATAGGACAAATTTGTACATAAAAGTCTAGAATCATTTCAAGGACTTTTTAATTCGCTACTCACTTTTGGTCTTTTGGGAAGGAGACTCCACAGGAGATGAAATGTGTGTTTCTTGTGTTGTATCTTCCTGTACATGTTCTTCAAGGACTATTGGTCTTCCCACACCTTCTACATATTCTGTGTATGTAAGTTTTTTAAATTACATATATGAAGTTATTTATTTTAAAATATTTAAACTTTATGTTTTACTTCTGGCAATCAGTTTTTTTCATTTATTTGTTTATATCTTAATTACATCCTAAGTTTTTGGAAGAACTTCAAAACACCAAACAAACCCAAAGAACTTCTTAATGATCTATTAATTCAAAGCTTTTTAATTAAGACAAAAAGATATAATTTGGAAGAGACTCATAAACCGTTTTTCTGAAAACTAAACTTGTCACATTATTTCCTCAAAAATAAATTCACCTGTTGAAGATACAATAACATCATTGGTTTCTTTAAATATATTCTACCTGAAGATTTAAAACTCTGAAAGATGCTTTGAATAGACTTGATGCCTAAACACGAATGTCAAATTCAGATGATACAGGTAACATAAATGAACAAAGTAGGGTAAGTTTATGTTACGATGGTGTTGTAATCTTATAAGACAAGTACAATTGTGTGTTAAACTTTATTTCCACAAAGAAATAATGTTCTTCATTCTTGAAGAAATGTCCCACACTCAGTCTATCTCTCATTTTTCCAGCTTTGATGAAGCCATAATAATAGTAATAGCAGCTAAAACTTAAATACTGCTTATGATGCACCCAGCAACATTCTAAGTATTTACTATAAATTAACTCATTTAATCCTCACAAATCCATGACACAGGCACTATTACTAATCTCAGTTTTAAAGGTGAAAACAAAAGGAGAAGGATTTTAACTTGGCCATGTTCATACAGCTAATGCGTGGCAGAGCCAGAAACACATGGAACAAGAAAACATCTCACTTTTGAGCATAAGGAAAACGGCATCTAAATGCAGGGATAAATGCCAACTAATATTCAGCCTCAAAGTCACAGAAAAAACAAAAAGTATGCAGACCATGAGGAACCAGCTAAGGTGCCCCATCTAAGATTAGGCAATGAAGTAAAAGGAAAGCCTGCATTTTTTGAGAAACCAAAACTCTGGAGTTTTAGATGAAATCCTAGGTTTTTTAAAAGTTGAAAGCTAATTCATTTTTTTTTAATGGAAACACAGGGTGGACCAAAAATATGTGATCTAAACAAAACATATCATCTACCTGACAAAAGCATTTAGCTCACAGTGGCTAGTCTGTAGCTTTCATCTAAAGGGTTAAATCAATAGATCCCCCCACACACACACACACACACACACAGGATCTTTTACTTGTACTTCTTTATTCAGAAGGAATCTCTTTTCTTAAAATCCTATTAAGAAAGTTTGTGCTCTTCATGCCAACCACTTGTGTCTTCATACCATCCAAATAGTTTCTACCTAAGGGCAATTCTACTAGGCAAATTCTCCTAGGAAAAGAAAGCAACCTGTGGGCTTCTATTCTGAAAAGTTTTGACCTATGCAGTAATTATGTAAACTGAATTCCTCCTCCAGGACACAAACAGTAATTTTATCTACTATAAATAAGCTTTATTGCAATGAAAACTTTTTAGTAAGATTTAAGAGGTACCAGTGAACTTGAAATTCAGGAATCTAGAGATATAGAAAACATGTTCACATTCTCAAATTTGCCAGTAATTTTAAAAATTCAAAGATATCCCATATACCCTATCACAAATTGGCATACCTAATGAATCTTGATCACTTGAAAAGACACAGAGAGTTACTCCTCTATAATAGCATTTCTAAGTTGAACTAATGCAGTATGTTAAAAAAAATGTAATTATGTCATGACCCCTTTCTAGTGGATGACATTTTGCTTCTTCCAAAAGGCATTACACACAAGCCTCAGCTTTTTTAAAGTTCAATTAGAGGCAAAAAAATCCAACATAAAATACAAAGTGCCCAGAGGGAAAAGACGTAAAAATGCTGTCTACCAGTTTTGTTTTGTAGCTTTCATTCAACTTGACTTTAATTTGAGTCGATCTGAAAAGCCGCTTTTATATTCTTCTCTGATATATCTCTATATACCTTGGCTTGAAAATTAACTCCTTTATTGACAAGAAAATTGTAGGGGCCTGGACTTCCCTGAGAGGTTTCAGAAATTTGGAGAAAAGGGAGCAGAATGACCTCCTGCAGAGCATCTATTCTTTTGACCCCTCTTTAGGCTTTGTTGACTCCTCTCAGTCTACATGGGTCCTGCCCACTGGGTTTTAATTCATTAATCTCCCTGCAAGACTAAACTGTTCTTCAGTTTCCCAACTGGTATCCAGTGAAACCCCTCCCGCCTCCCTCCTCAATTACACTTGCAGCTAATCTGTAACCATTATAGGGGATAATCACTACTGAACAGCGTAGGAACTAACCAGAAAGCGGAGAACAAACATCTGGGTTGTTAAGGGAACATGTTACATGCAGGCGAAATCACCAAGCAGAAAGGGAAAGTGCTGAAATCTAAATTGTTCATAAAAGTTTTAAATCCAGTGGGGAAGTCTGTAATCCTGCAATAAAAAGTAGTACCTAGATTGCTGTCAAAACTTCAGTAGACATAACGACTACAAAAGTGACCACAAAGGTACTTAAGTGACCTTTATCCAAAACAAAGCCTGGATTATCTTGTCCTACTGGCTGGGAAATAATCTGCATTCTTCCAGCTAAGCATAATTGTGTTGTTGCTAACCCAGCATTTAGGTACCAGGCTACCACTTAGAATAGGAGATAGGAGTTTGATCCAGTCACATAGCCTCTGGAGCTTCAGTTTCCCTTATGTATGTTAGAAAAGGTCCTAGTCTTTTCTGTCAAAAACAGCAAAGTTTAAAAATATACTTCCTCTTTCTCACTATTGTTTAGTAGTTCCAGTTAAAAATATACTTTCTCACTATTGTCTAATAGTTCCAGTTAAAATATACTTTCTCACTATTGTCTAATAGTTCCTCATTTTCAAGCTTTCCTAATCTTGTAACTAGACAGATCTTGCTTTTCTATTAGCCAATCAGTTTAGATCATAAGGTCACGCTCCAGCCAATAGAGTACGACACAGTAACACCTGTGTTAGGGATAAAAACTGAGAGGACTTCCCACTTAGTGTGCTTGCTAGACCGGCTCACGGTGGCTCTGCACCCTTCTGCAGAAGTAAAATTTGCTTCGCCGAGTTACTTTCGACTTCGTGTGTCTTTATTTGCGACACAACTAAAATCTGTTCCCAACATGTACAAAATGGAGAATAATGATATCTGGACTTATCTACCGTATTTGCCGGCGTATAAGACGATTTTTTGGCCCTGAAAAATATGCCTCCAAGTTGGGGGTCGTCTTATACGCCAGGTACACTTCAGATAGACTGCCCAT